GTTGTCTAGAGTGGCCGCTATAGACAGGGTGGTCTGTATAGACAGGTGTATGTATCACACTGCTGATAACAGGGTTGCCTAAGGTGACCGCTATAGACAGGGTGGTCTGTATAGACAGGTGGATGTATCACACAGCTGATAACAGGGTTGTCTGGAGTGGCCGCTATAGACAGGTGTATGTATCACGCAGCTGATAACAGGGTTTTCTAGAATGGCCGCTATATACAGGGTGGTCTGTATAGACAGGTGGATGTAACACACTGCTGATTACAGGGTTGCCTAAAGTGTCCGCTATAGACAGGGTGGTCTGTATAGACAAGTGTATGTATCACACAGCCGATAACAGGGTTGTCTAGAGTGGCCGCTATAGACAGGGTGGTCTGTATAGACAGGTGTATGTATCACACAGCCGATAACAGGGTTGTCTAGAGTGGCCGCTATAGACAGGGTGGTCTGTATATACAGGTGTATGTATCACACTGCTGATAACAGGGTTGCCTAAGGTGACCGCTATAGACAGGGCGGTCTGTATAGACAGGTGGATGTATCACACAGCCAATAACAGGGTTGTCTAGAGTGGCCGCTATAGACAGGGTGGTCTGTATAGATAGGTGTATGTATCACACAGCCGATAACAGGGTTGTCTAGAGTGGCCGCTATAGACAGGGTGGTCTGTATAGACAGGTGTATGTATCACACTGCTGATAACAGCGTTGCCTAAGGTGACCGCTATAGACAGGGTGGTCTGTATAGACAGGTGGATGTATCACACAGCTGATAACAGGGTTGTCTGGAGTGGCCGCTATAGACAGGTGTATGTATCACACAGCTGATAACAGGGTTTTCTAGAATGGCCGCTATATACAGGGTGGTCTGTATAGACAGGTGGATGTAACACACTGCTGATTACAGGGTTGCCTAAAGTGTCCGCTATAGACAGGTGTATGTATCACACAGCTGATAACAGGGTTGTCTAGAGGGGGGCAGGGAGGACACGTGTTCGCCGGCAGCCAATGGGCGCGCATTCTATCCGTGAGCTTCAGAATAAGGCAATTATATAAGTAGATATAGTCTATGATCCCTATCCAAATATTTCATGAACTTTTAATATATCGAGAACGAAACAAAAAGCGATATACGTATATTAAGCTTTTAATTAGTTTTTTGTTATATTGTTTTACAAAATTCCCATCATAAAATATTAATTTAGATTTTATCAACTAATTAATCTGAAAATAATTATTATTTATATACACATGTATGTTCATCAAATTCATCTTGTTTGTATTTGAAATAAAAATGGCTTCCCATTGCTTAACTTCTAGACTATGTGGCTAACTTGAAACAGTCTCCACCGCTTGTTAAAAATAGCTCGAGTCTCGTTGTGGAAGCCAATTGTCAGGTAGAAATTTGTTTTTAATTCGGTAAAATAATCCCTTAAATCAATATTAAAATAAAATCATTAGACCTCCAGGGAAAATTTTATTTTAAAATATTTTTTATTTACAAATCTCTCAAGCCTTCGGGAAAGAAAGCCTTTTTACGTAAATATTTTCTACCGTAAATAAAAATATTAAAAAAGAAACTTCTCCCTGGAAGCCTAATGTTTTTATTTTAAGGAAGTTGTCTTTTCGCTTCATTAGTGCTTCCCTGCTTGTCACGATGACACAATTTCACAGGGAATATAAGAAAATCAATCCAAAATAATTTGGCGAATTCACCACTGAGAGAATTCACCACTGATGAGCCAAGCCCTCTCATTCAATAACTTTTATCGTTGTAGTAAGATTTGTATAGAGATAATATTTGATGATATATGTGAAAAGAAACTGAATAAAACTGAAACATGTGATTACAAACTGAAAAAAATAACTATTTCCGAATGTATAATTAGTGTCTTATATATAAACATTGCAGTATAAACTGTCATTTATTGGTGTGGTATTAGCGCTAAAAATCCAGTCGAAATACATTTATTCACTTTAATATTGCTGAACCGCGTGCTACTTCAAAAATACAGCGCGCCTACGTCAAAGGACGACGTGGCATTCGAGGAGCTTCCGGCCATCACCACTAGAGGCGCTGTACCTTCCCTTTTCACTTCCTGTTATGTCTTCCCTTGTACTACCTGCTTGCATGTTCTCGTGAGAGAGAGAGAGAGAGAGATATATTAAAACCTATATATATTACAATCTATTCTCAATTTGATTGAACCACCGATCCAACAAATATAGAGGTCGTATTTTAACTTTTACTAAAGTTACGTATTGCCAGTTCATATTGTACTATGAGTTCACTATGTGTAGTGAGGATGATATAGTTAACCAATAAAATATCAAATTACTGTTTGGATTCATTTTAGAATAAACAAAGCTGTTTCAAACTCTAACAGGGGCATTGGCTTAAAGAACGCTATAAGCGTTATAGCGTTAAATACGGAAAGATGATATCAGAAACACCGAGAACAAAAATACGCAATAAATATCAACAGAGACAAATATTTAAAAAAAAAAGGAAATTTAAAAGCTATTTTTTTAACCTTAATTATTTTTTTATATAATTCGATAAAAACAAAAAAGTGAAGTTTAAAGTTCGCTGTAAACTTAAAAAAAATTGTTCCTTGAATTATATCTCTAATATTGAAAAAAAAGTATGTTTTAAAGGAAACCAAATTATACGTGGAGTAAGTCAATCTAGTGAAGTAAAATAAAGTTTTATTGTTAGGAAATCAGTTTATTTTTCCTTACTTTTTATTTTCAACATCTTTTCAATTCTCACTAAAGAATCTTGGGGTGAAAATTCTATCTCGATAGAAGGCTGGAGATGAGATTATTTTCAGCACTTACTTTTTTATCGAGTGCAACTTGTTTTTTAAAGGCTGGTTTCTTTCTCCCGGAGTATGGGCGTCTCAGCAAGTTCTTGTGGCCCAGTTGCTTGCTCTCCTCCCTTTCTTGCTCCACGTACATCCGTGGACAAAACTTAGGGAAGTGTTGTACCTTTTATTGTACGTATATAGTGTTAATAATAATATTATTATTTTTATTATATGAAAAAAAGCACAAAGGTGAAATTGTACTGGTATCGGGTGGTTAAAGAAAAAGGCATCTCTTGATCGGGCAATTAAAAATAGCTGATTTCGCCATCCATCGGAATACATGTAAACTAATCATTGATTTTTATTTATCCAGAATTGGTCAAATATTAGTTTTTTTTCTTTTGTCCTTGAAGTACAGCTTGTACCACGCAGCCCGAAACGCGTACGAGGGTATCTTTTCTTGATTAATCAACAACAACAACAACAACAAAAAGCCTTTATTTAGGGTCACTGACCCTATACAGGATTCACCAGAGGTATGCATAAGAACAAAGCAGTGAGACAAAGGAAATAACGATATATACAGAAGAAAAAGAAAATAAAACAAGAAAGAGAAAGAGGGAAGCAAGGAAAACAACACAAAAAGAGTAGCAGTAAGAAAGTGAGGAGTGAGTGTCACTTGGCCTTCTTCTCGGATATGGACTTGTGGAAACCATAAAACGCCGTAGCAATATACTTATTCTGGGTCATATTGTCAATTATTGATGGAAGTGAAGCACAGAGTTGCCCAGTTTTGAGCATAAGGGTTTTCTTGATTAATCAAGAATGGGTATTTGAACAATTCTGGAATAATCCAAAATTCAACGATTAGTTGATATTTATTCCGAGTGATGGCGCAAGGCATCAGCAACCTTTATTTGTACAATCAGGAGAAGCTTTTTTCTTAAATTATTTTTTATTATATTTTTATAATTATTTTTAAAAGGAAAATGTTCAAATCAACATGTATGGGACATCCGCCGTTATATAAGCCAATAAGAAGTGGTTTATGCACGAAACACATGAAATCTTCTCAAATATTGTCCAAGAATGTATATAAAAATGACTGATATATTTAAATTTTACAAATTACCATAAGAAATAGGTTGTATATAGGTAGTTTTCTAAATTTACGCATTGAATTGAATACTATATTTTATGAGATAATTTTCGTTTAGTAATTCTAATTCAAAAATGTTTATTTATTAGAGAAACGTCATTTCCAAATGTATTTTCTTATATTTATTTAAACTTTTCTCCCTATATTTTATTATATTTTACTAGACGGGTGACCCGGGCTTCGCCCCGGGATTGAGCCTGTGTGCATATCTACCCATGTGATATATATTTAGATAAGATTTTTTAATATAATTGTTTGTTATTAGCATTATCTATTTGTTTGCATCAGCATAATTTAATCTAATCTTTGATAGAGGGCGCTGTTCGTGAGCTAATTAGAATAATTTGAATATATAGTTTTAATAATTGATGTTTATATTTTTTAAAATAGCCTATCGTCTTCCCCGTATTTTTTTTACCTATGTATGGAAATTTTGGTTTGAATTAGTGAACTACTGCGAATTTGTATACCGGACATACAAACAAACAAACATACAAACATTGATTTTTCTAACAGGTATGGGACATCCGTTGTTTTATATACGCATATAAAGAATGGTAAATAGGTATCTTTAATATTAAGAACTATGAATGCTGGCCAGGCAGCCTCTATCTTACGATTACGATTTTATTTTAAATTAAATTGTGTCTCATGACAAGTTATGTATTTTACTTGTGTGTGAGAGATGAAGATTATTCTCAATTAAATGTATCTTTAGACAAGTTATATTGCCTAAAAAAGGAGTCTATTCATAGACATCGTGAATATGAATTTCTAATTTTATAAATCAATATTCCGTTTATTCATGTAAATAGTTTCTATTATAAAGGACTGCGGCGTGTGTTTATAAACAATACTTAAAGTCACACCGCATAAGTTTCTTTTCTATGAAAAATCAATATTTATTTCAAAGAGAAATATTTACTATTTCTGAATATTTTGAATGAAGTATGAGAGGGTGAAAATATGAAGAGTAATGGCGAACGGAAAAATAAAAGTGTCCAGGGGCGGGAATCGAACCCACAACCCAGGGTAGCCTAGTGGACATGGCATCTGCCCGGTAAGCGGAAGGTTGTGGGTTCGATTCCCGCCCCTGGACACTTTTATTTTTTCGTTCGCCATTACTCTTCATATTTTCACCCTCTCATACTTCATTAAAAAAATTTAGAAATAGTAAATATTTCTCTTTGAAATAATTATTGATTTTTCATAGAAAAGAAACTTATGCGGTGTAACTTTAAGTATTATTTATAAATAGTTTCTATATTTGATTTGAAAAATAGATTGTTTGATCTCCAAAATTCTCAGCATTATCTCGAGGATAAGTAGAGACAGATTTAGTTAAAAACTATATATTCCGTCTTACATTGAAATCACCAAATATAAATTTGAACTATATTCTGAACATTGAAACCTTTATAGATAATAGATTGTTTGATCTCCAAAATTCTCAGCATTATCTCGAGGGTAAGTAGAGACAGTTTTAGTTAAAAACTATATATTCCGTCTTACATTCAAATCACCAAATATAAATTTGAACTATATTCTGAACATTGAAACCTTTATATTTAGAGAGAATAGTAGATTTCTAAATATAAAAAAAAAATAAAAACCTATCTTCTAAATATAAAAAAGTTATACTCTAACAGTCTCTTATATTTGTTAATCTCCTCAACTCTTCGTAAACACTCAAACACGCCGTAATTAAAAATATAAAATATCCTGAAAACAAAGACAAGATTTTGTAGAAAATATTTTTGTCTTGTATAGATGAACAAATCTGCCTAATTTTACACGTCATACAAGTCATTTTCTTCTACATTACATATAGCGCATGTATCTGTTATGTTGGGAATGCCTATTTGCATAAACGTACATCGGAATATTGAGTAAAATTGTTAATTGTTATTTAGAAATGAATAACAAATGAAAATGAGTATCTTTGAGCGACGAAGCTCTTCTACTGGCTTATCAATGTCAAGTGGAGAATATACAAGAAGAAGAAGAAGAAAAAAGTGAAGGTATTTCTCCATTTAACTTTGATAACCAATAGAAGAACGAAGTTGCTCGAAACTTCGCCTTTTTACGACAAATGATATACTTATTGTTAATTTTTAATTAATTTCTAAATACCCATTAACAGCTTTTTTTCACTTAACTTTGATAAACCAGTAAAAAAAGACATTGCTCGAAATTAGCTTTTTAACTATAAATAATATATGTATTGTCAAAAATATCACACACACACACACAAAGCCTTTATTAAGACATTAGTCTTATACAGATTCTCCGTACAAGGTGCAATAACAGGAAAAGAGCAGCACAGGAAACCAGTAGTTCCGCAACTATATACAATTATTAGTAATAACACGATGGCCCCTCGATGTTTCGTCATCATTCTGCGGTGTAAGAACAATAGCTTCCAAGTTCTCTTTTCTCCCTCTTTTATTGTCAAAAATATCATTAATTTATTAATATCATCAGAATAAATTTACATAACATAATAGTAGATGAACCCTATTTTAAGGATTGAACCCTACTAAGGTAATTCCATAGTACCTATAAGTAAAGAGAATTATATTCCTGGTAGGTAGGGGCTGACGACTTGTTTTACAGTAAGTGTGCGCACACATTTAGAGGTAGTTTAACTTGGCACATAAAATATGTAAGAGCAGCGTTTGGTTACCTGAACTGATTTAAGCATTTAAATTAGTGCAAGAATCGAAGTTATTGAAACTTTAAAAGTGAAAAACGTGTTCACAAGGCAGGATTCGTTCATGTGCCCTGGTTGTTTATTATCGATTATATGACACCACGCCACTAGCTATGTTTGTATAGCATGTCTTCCCTTAGAGCATTTCAAAGTAGACTTACCCAACTTCGATAGTCAACACTACCTAGATGGAGAAATATAAAGGTTACCATACACCTTCCACCCTGACTAATAATTTAATAAAATAAACAAGCAATCTTGGGTTAAGTTTATTTTACAATATTCGTTTCTCTAGCTTTCTCGGTCTAACATGCCCTTCAACAGGAGCACCTAGAAGTTTAAATTCCAATAACTATAACTATTTGGTGAGGTCTGGTAGCCTCTTGTATAATCCTGTCGACTAAAATTGTGATGAGATTCAGTCGACTTAAACTGTGGTGTGAGTCCCTGTCAACTCTCGCTATACTGTGTTGACCGAGAGGAACAGTCAGGATGGGGAGTTTTCCAGTACCTCTCTGCACCTTGTAAGACCTTCAACAGTTCTCACAGAGTACAGGCAGTCGTGGTCGAGGCAGAGTGGAAAGCTTGGAAATGTCCATACAAAAAACGAAGACACAGTTGCACTAAGAAAGTTCCGTGAACAGATAAAAGTTGAACTAGGAGCGAAAGATGGAGATGGAAGATTTCTTAATGGTCTACATGATGGATGAGGTAGACCTGGGGTACAACCGACGAGGGCTCACGCAGATGGTGAAGTGACTGTCAAGTGACTGTATTTATAGGTTAAGACGGGGGCCTTATGCGACAGGGGCGTGGATCGTCTTGTGAAATTCTAAACTGGCGCCGTGCTGACAGTTCCCAACCTATCTTTAGATGTTGTTTTGTGACTTTCATCTATCTCGAATTTAGACGTTTTTGACTTCTATCTCTTCAGCTCAACTCTCAATCTTTTACAGTTTTATTTATATTATCCTGAGTTTGTACAAAGTACGTTACATATGATGATGTAATGACACATGTCAATAATACGTATAATCATTTACAGATGTGTTTCTATTATACAACATTAAAATATTGTTATAAGTTATATACAATATGGGGTTGTTAATTCAAATTACCATATATACACACCGAAAATAAAAATATCTAAATATATATGCTAATCTTTTGCATATATATATATATATATAAATCTGTATATCTTTTTTAAAAATTATTTTATTATATAAAAAGCGTATTTTTCCAAACTTAGACATAAATAACCATTTCTTTATTTCTCAGAAAGCCTGTGGAACCAAATATTTGGTCGTAGAGGTACATACTTGTATTTAGTTTATTATTTTTATTTTTTGGGGCGTGTATACCACTTTGATCAAAAAGTTTTGACACTTTGCTCATGAAAACTTGAAAACTAAATATATTTTCTCCCGGTTTATGGCAAACGCAAGCGTCGCCCTTGGCTTGAAGACCTGCCAATTTTCAAAATTCACGCGCCACAACAGCGCGAGCAGCGGCTGTTCGAAGTGAAGCCATTTTGTCCGTGCTTCGATTTCGTTAGTCACCGAAATGGAGGATCAACGAATTTGCATCAAGTTCTGTGTGAAAAACGGATTCAAGGGTGCCGAAATTTTTTTAATGTTGCAAACAGCCTACGGGGATGCGGTCATAAGCCGAAGACGAGTTTTCGAGTGTTACAAGCGCTTCAAGGAGGGTCGGGAAGAGACCGCCGACAACGAGCGTTCCGGGAGACCGTCCACATCAACCACGCCTGAAAAAGTGGACAAGGTGTTGGAACTGGTGCGTGAAGAACGACGAATAACTGTCAGGGAGGTCGCCGAAGAAGCAGGGATATCATTCGGGTCGACTCAATCGATAATGAAGGACATTTCAGGAGTGAGAAGACTCAACGCCGTTCTCGTTCCCAAAGATTTGACTTTTGATCAAAAGAACGCCCGGAAAGAAACGGCCAGTCTCAATCTCGAAGCGACAACCGACGACCCCGAATTGCTGAAGAGGGTCATTGCTAGAGACGAAACATGGATTTACGGCTTTGATTCGGAAACTACCCAACAGGCATCGGAGTGGCGCTTCAAAAATGAGCCGAGATCAAAGAAAGCGAGGAAGGCTTCCAGCAAAGTCAAGGTCATGTTGACGGTGTTCTTCCACTACCAGGACATCGTTCATCATGAATTTCAACAACAAGGCTCTACAATAACTGCTGACTCCTACCTGGGAGCTTTGAGGCGATTGAGGGAAGCGATCAGGCAGAAACGGCTTGAGCTGTGGAGGAACAAGGCGTGGATCCTCCACCACGATAACGCGCCGGCTCACACAGCCCTCAAAATCTCGAAGTTCCTGCAGGACCACTCAACCTCCGTGATCCCCCAACCCCCTTACAGTCCCGATTTGGCCCCCTGCGACTTTCCCTTTTTGGAAAGCTAGAAAAAAAGTTAAAGGGTCGGAAATTTCAGAGCATAGAAGAGATCAAAGTGGAATCGAAGGCCATGAAGCCGATCCCGAAAACAGACTACCAGAGGTGTTTTGCCGACTGGAAAAAAAGGTGGCTGAAGTGCATCGCGGCCAACGGGGACTACTTTAAAGGGGACAATTTGAATTTGGTAGAATAATAAAGTTTTTTTAACATATGAGCAAAGTGTCGAAACTTTTATCACAATATAGTAGCTGGATGTTATACTTCTAGTGCTTATTTTGAGGGGCAAGTTAGCCCCCGAAAGCTAAATAAATAAAAGTTGTAAAAGAAACTTAACACCGGATTGCTTGTTATTTTATCAAATAAATATTACCCTCCATATACACGAAATTTGACAAAGTAGATTGTGATTAACAAACTAAATTTAGTCGGTAGGTAGTACCCCATGATATATAATTTCACAAAGTAGTCTAACATTCTATAGCTAACCGTACTGAACAAATTTCAAGAATTTGACTTATGTTACACACCAAGGACAAGATGCAATTAGTGTGAAGTTAATTAATTACGATCTAGTTGAGTGGCGGTAGCTTCTATAAACTTTAATTTCGGAAACATCAGCTCTCCTCTTCTGTTGTAAGGTCTTCCAATTAGAAGAAGATAGGAATCCAGATAATGAAAGATTAAACTAGGATTATATAATCTTTAAATTTAATTTGTATCATAAATAAATCGATATAAATTATAAAATGAATCAACTTTATTTAATATTTATTCCGACAGATGGAGCAAACCACCAGCATCGTCGGGTTATACACAAACATAATATGCAGATTTCCAGATTTTGCCACCTGTTCTTTTTAAATTCTTTTCCTTTGTTCAGTTTTGAATGGTCTCAATGTGTTTGGATTCAGATGGAATGTCTCAGGAGAGAGTAACCGAGGAATGTTAACGAT